ACGAATATGCCTTCGTCATCGGTCCAGAGTTCGGTACAGTTCGGAAAAATTTGTGATAACACTTCTTCTATTATTTCATGAAAATGTAGTTTACTTCCTAATTTACGAAAATATGCGTATTTAGTAAATCTATCTATACAAGAGAGATAACTTTTGCCATTTATATAAAATATGTCCATTTGTACTGATGTGCCTGGAGTATTTGGTACTGGGCTTTTTCCTAATAATTGTTTAAATGGTTTCCTCTCATATTTATTCTCCGTGCAGTTTACACAATTTTTTACTACTGTCTCTGTGTCTTTTTTCAATGTAGGCCAATAACAAGTTTCTAGAATTTCTTTATAATTATTTAATGCGTTGCGATGTGCTCTCTTGTGTGTATACTCTAATATATTTTCTTTATCTATTTGCTATGTTATGTGTTTTAATTTTATTTGAGTAAATACTTTAAAATATGTTGTAAAGATATTAGCTATAGTCTCTTTTATCGTATGCCACGTTTCTAATGTTGAGTGAAATGCTGTCACTACTTTTGGTTTCATAATTTGTTTGAGTGTCTCTATTAGATATTCGTTAGTATTATATTTAATTTCGTAGCGTTCGTGTCGAGGAAAAATTGTTATCGCTGTTTTTTCATTTGTGTCTGACTGTACTAGTTCTATCTGTGTTCTAAAAAAATTAAATGGTTTATTTATCATTTTTATATTCCGTAAAGCTGATGATTCAGCTGAATGCATAGACATGTCGGATAACATATATATTTGTCTTGGAAGTGCGTCTGCGACGACATTCCATCTTTTTAACTTTGTATTTGGATTCTTTTCCGAAATAGAAAATATTAATGACTGATGGTCTGTATAAATTGTCAAGTCTGCTATTCCATAAAGATAATTTCTTAAAATTTGCTAGCATTTCCTTTTCATTCGTTGAGTAATTCTGTTCTGTTGTAGTTAGAGTTCGTGATATAAATGATATGGGGTTTTTTCCCTGACTTAAAACTGCTCCTATCGCGTAATTACTTGCATCTGTTGTAAGATCGAATCCTTTCTCAAAATCTGGTTGATATTATTCAATTTTTTCTTTTAATTTCTTCTATAGCTTTTAATGCTTCTTTATCTAGTTTAATTTTTATATTCGTACTTTTATTTTTGGATACGCTACCATTTTCTCCTTTTAGATAAATAGTTAAAGGTTTGCATATATGTGCAAATTCTTAACAAACTTCCTATAATATGAGGCTAATCCCAAAAATTAACGTAATTCTTTTAAATTTTCCGGGGTCTTGTATCTATCTATCGCTTCAATTTTCGATGGGTATACAGTGATTCTTCGTTATTAATTATATGTCCTAAAAATTCTGTCTTTGTTTGAAAAAAATTAGACTTTTCTTCTGAGATTTTCATGTTTGCGGAGTGTAGTGTTTGAACTATATTTGTAACATCTTTGATATGCTGCTCTGGGTCTGCAGAGTAGATCAAGACGTCGTCAATATAGACATATGCACACTTCCATATATACTGTCTCAAAATATCATCAACGCATCGCATTCTTTAATTCAAACGGTAGTCTTAAGAATTCATATTTGGCTATCTTCAGGTTTGATCATTATCTGGTGAAATCCTGACTCCAAATCTAATGTCGTAAAATAGCGTGCTTTCCCTAAATTTTGTAGCGTCATTGTAATATCTGGTATGGGGTACCTATCTGCTATAGTTTGTTTATTTAACTTCTGGAAATCTATTACCATCCTTTTCTTTGGCTTTCCATTTTCATCAATTCCTTTTTTCGATACTGTCCAGATCGGAGAGTTGTATGAACTTTTACTTTCTTTAATTATGTTATTTTTTTATAATTTTTGAATTTCCTTCACTACGAAATCCTGATCCACGTATGGATAGGGGTATTGTCTGACCCAAACAGGTTCTTTGGACTCAGTCCTAATCTCTGCCTGAATCATAGTTGTGAAAGGTAGTATTTCGTTATTATAATTATTTTTCATTAAATTCTTTATTTCATTTTCATATGTTTTATCTCCTATTGTATAATTAATTCTTTATTCTTTTTTGTTTTCATTTATTTCTTCCTTTTCAAATGTTGCCGAATAGTCGAACAGATCTATCCTAGCTTTCATTTTCCTCAAGGAGTCTTCTCCTAAAATTATATCAAATTCCTTTAAATCTTCTGTCTCAAAAAATTCTAAATCAAACCCTACAAGGTTAATCTCTCGTTTGTGTGTAACTGTTGAAATCCCATGAAGAGTATTAAATTTGATAGGTTTTTCTAACTTGATCCTATCTGCAAAAGGATAACTTTTACTAACATAACTGCTCGTTGCACCAGAGTCTATTAAGTAAAGTGCATTTTTTATTGCCGCATTTCTCAATCCTGCTATGAACGTTCGTACTGCTTTTAATTGAACTTCCTTTGAAAGTACGTCGATCACGTTCTCGTTTTTGTAGGTCATCTCTATTTTTGAGAGTACCACGTTTTAAGCTTGATTCAGATGATCAAAGTATATATGTAACGGCTTCTCCGTTTGTCTAATCCTCATCATGTCCTCCTCTAGAACGTAGAGTGGTCGTTGATCAGCATACGAGTTGTCAAGTCTATCTATGATTTCTTCAAAATTCAGCTTCGTGTTGTTTATCAAAATTTGCGCAGCTTTTCCTGTTGCTTTGCCTCTCAGTAAGATCAATGCTTCTGTATATATGTTCTGTCCTCGGAACTGTCTTACATTGTTCATCAGTGTAAGGGCTATCTTTCTCCAATTGCGATACTTGTAGTAGTCCCCACTGAATGTTGTTAATGCAGCTTTGAATAGATTTAAATCTACTTCCTTTGGATCTGTATATACGCAAATTTCGTCTCTGACCTCCTCCACTGGAGCGGAACCTATTTGTGCTTCAGCAAATCTTCGCTGGAGATCCATTACAATGGATTGTAACGCGGTAATATCGGCTTGTGCCATTTTGTTTTTATTTTTTCAATTGTTTCACTAGAATTTTTAAATGCTTTGTATTTTATTTCTGAATCCTTTATGATTTATCCAGTTCTTTTAATTGAGTTTTTTATTTGGACACTTAAATACTTCGTAGGATTTTATTTCCTGAATCCTTTTATGTATTTATCACTTTTAAGGATTTTTATATGAATCCTTTTGTTAGTGGGTCCCTGCTTGGGCGCCAATTAATAATATTCTTTGGATATTATTTAAAAATATATTTCACCAGGATTCCTGGGTTTCTTTATTGAATATTTAATATTTTACAATATTATTACCGGCTATGCTCATAGATATATTCAAAATGTGAACAAGTCCTGCATGCGCTCTGCTCTTTTATAGTTATGGCTAGAGCAGCGTGTCGTATTCTGATTGGTTAAGTCTAGTTTGATCATGCATTGCTTGGATGTATATGTATGCTAGCTGTTATCAGTTGGGATCAGTGTAGGTCATGTATTAACTCGGGCCAGAGGGATGTGGTGGCCAAGTGCTGGGGTTTGCACTCTCTGGTGCCTATATCAGCCGGATTGTCAGCCCTGGCTACATGTCAAGTGGCTGATCCTACTAGGTCAAGTATTGGAGACGTTCGATTAGAAATAAACGTCTTTCATGCATGTGGTGATTTTTCTAACCAGGCTAGTAATATAAGGTTGTCAAATATCTCTCTCCGCTTTTTTGCGCTTCATTCAATGCTTTATAAAAAGTGTTACAGTGATCGGATTTAGTTAAAATATGCGCCGTTTTGTTCGATGATCTGTTTCCATCTAGACGGCAACTTCATAATACCTTCCTCGTAGAAGCCCCCCTCCTTATTTGCGAAGAATTCGGACAGCCACTTTTCGCAAGCCTCTTTTGAGTTCAACTTCACACCACCAAGGGCATTCGCCATGGACAGGAACAGGTGGTAATCACTTGGCGCTACGTCCGGGCTATATGGTGGATGCGATAAAACCTCCCATCCGAGCTCCCGTAGCTTCTGACGAGTCATCAACGAAGTGTGTGGTCTGGCGTTGTCCTGGTGGAACACTACACCCTTCCTGTTGGCCAATTCTGGACGCTTCTGGTCGATCGCCTGCTTCAAGCGGTCCAGTTGTTCGCAGTAGATGGTAGAATTAAGCATCTGGCCATATGGGAGCAGCTCATAGTGGATGATTCCCTTCCAATCCCACCAAACACACAGCAAAACCTTCCTGGCCGTCAATCCCGGCTTGGCCACTGTTTGGGACGATTCACCGGCCTTCGACCACGACCGTTTTCGCTTGATATTGTCGTATGTGATCCATTTTTCGTCGCCAGTCACCATCCGCTTCAAGAATGGGACGAGTTCGTTCCGTTTCAGCAGCATATCGCAGGCGTTGATTCGGTACAGAAGGTTTTTTTGCGTCAAATTATGCGGCACCCAAACATCAAACTTTTTTTTTGTATCCAGCCTTCTGCAGATGGTTCAAAATGGTTTGGTGACTAACTCCCATCTCCTGGGCGATGTCACGAGATGCCATATGCCGGTCTAACTCGATGTATTCCATGATTTGATCGGTATTTGTCGTCACAGGTCTTCCGCCGGCTGGCTTATCCATGGTGTCGTTTTCACCGGTTCTGAATCGTCGAAACCATTCCTCCGCGGTTCGAAGTGATAGAGTACCATCCCCCAAAACACCATTAATCTCACGGAACGTTTCTCTGGCGGATTTGCCTTTAACGAAGGAAAACTTTAAAATAGCGCGAATTTCGGCGTTAGTGAACTCCATGTTTACACATCTATAACTGTTGAACGCAATATCCAAACTAATCATGCATAGCGTTGTTTTGTAGGTTATGTCAAGACCTTTCAAATTATGTATAGTGTTGCCAGATACGAGCTCTGTAGCGCTTTGTACATAGCCGCGAAATTCCAAAGACAAAAAAGCGGAAGGGAAATAACGGCCAACCTTATATTTCTTATTTTATATCCGAGGTACATCGCTTTTATCAAATTTAAGTACGCAAATATGTACATATTTATATGCACATTAAAAGTTTTAAGACTGTTCAAAAATTTATTTTCACAGGATACAGGGAAAGTGCGTTTGTGTTTGCCATCTCCGCTGCCGGTGTAGCTCATAATGTTGCTCGAGCTTGCAGTCAAGGACGGCTGGTGTCCTGCGGTTGTGATCCTTCAATTAATAGGAAAACGCTAAACAGAAATCTTAGAAGAAGCCTTGATAAGGAGAAGAAGCTATTTCTCCAATACTTAGAAACAAACCAAATATTAACACCTGAAGAGGAGAAGAAGTACGAAAGGGCGAAAATTACCAGCCGCTGGAAATGGGGAGGATGTTCTCATAATATGGACTTTGGTGTTGAGTTTTCTAAGCTATTTTTGGATTGCCGCGAGAAGGCTGGAGATGTACAATCAAAAATTAACCTGCATAATAATAATGCTGGACGAATCGTAAGTAATCAAATAATAATTATTAGTTTTCGTTAGTTACACACATATACATACATATATATACGTTCTTTTGTTTTTGATTAAAAAGTAAAAGAGACCAACTCCATTTATGTTCATTGTGAAACCATAAGGTTTGTTAGAATAACGGAAATTATTTTATGCAGTACATGTAATACAATTTCTTCTATTTGTGGCACTAAATTCACATTCATGTTCATCGTTAAACTATAAGGTTTGTTAGAATAACGGAAATTATTTTATGCAGTACATATAATACAATTTCACCTATTTGTGGCACTAAACTATATCCAATATTATACATTCAGTTAATTTTGCTAAGATATCTTAAATATTAACCGATATATGCGGGAAAGGGCCAACCAGAAATTTGAACATATTTTATTAGGTATAAGGGAGATAGGTATAGTATTCACCTAATTTTATCTTAATATATTAATTATTGACAGAAACAGATGCTCTCTCAGTTTCATTAAGGTATCTCACATACCATCAACAGTATAGGTATAAGGAGTAAAGTCCACCGGATGTTTGAAAATCGTGATATTAGTTATAAAGGAGCTGGGGCAGATTTTCACACGATTTTATCCATCTTAGGCAGATAGATACACTGTTAGCAGAAAAATACGCTCACTCAATTTAATTAAGGTAACTTACATATTGGCCGATATATGGGGTATTAAGTCAGCCGGAATTTCGAAAATGTTTCTATTAGGTACATATATGGGGACTAATCGAATTATTGATCCAATTCAATACAATTTTGATAAACAAGCATATTATCAGAAAAGGATTCTCCCCGAACTTCGATAATATATCTTATAGAATAAGCGATATTTTTCGGTACCTAAGAGCTTGAATTGTTTCGTTTTGTGGGCGTGGCAGTGGTCCGATTATGCCCATCTGCAATACCAACCGTCACCCGGATTTCAACTCGTCTCTTCATCCTGATCATTTATATGTATATAACCCTATATCTATCTCGATTAGTTTTAACTGATACAAACAACCGTTAGGTGAACAAAGCTATTATGTTCTGTAGCAACATGTTGCCAGAGTATAAAAATGTGGCGAAACTATTCAGCAGAACGCTATACGAAGAAACCAAATGCTTTACAATTAAATTTGGGGAATTAGCTACTTATGTTCATATATTATAAGTCGTAGTCTCACATAGTTTCATTACTACATTTTGCATGTCTGACATATTAATATTAAAATCAACTGAATTAACTCAAATCAGATACACATACGAGTATGTGATATAAACTCAATCAAAGAGGCTTGATTATTTTCATGCGAAATTTATTAGGAAGCACACAGCACTGCGGTATTAACTCCTTTAAGATATTAAAGCTTCACTTAGAATAGCGTTTACTTAGAGTAAAAATTCGCGGTATTTCGTATACAAGGTTTTATTATCAAAAACCAGATTTTGCAATTTTACATATTTTTATTTATTTATTTATTTCCCAATGAAATATACAGTTGAACTGCATATTAAACCCTATAGAGACAAAAAACAATTGCCTGTTGATAGGGTAGGGAAAAGATAAGCCTAGGCCTATCGTACATGTATAATATTACTATAAGTATGTAAATATATGAATGTATAAATGTATAATGTCACTCCCTTTTGAGTGTTTTAAATAGTTTTTCATTTTTAGTTTCTAATAATTAAAACTTTATTTTAAATGACTCTGTGTATCCAATAACCACTGTTTCAATTTAAATTTATTCGGCTTATTTATAACATTGAGATTCTTATATTCAGTCGGCATTAGATTGTCAGATTTCATAGCTACATAATACGAATTTTTACTATATATTGTTTTGTTGACTTTACACAGTTTTATATTTTTATGCCTTGATCTTCCCTCATAGTTGATATACAATATTTTACATGCATTATAGAAGTACAATAAACTATTTATTACAAAGGTTAGTTTAATGTTTAAAGGTGAATTTTGTCCTAAGTCAAGTTTTTTTAGTATTCTTTGTTGCATGGTCAAGAGTGGCTGAATTACATTTCTGTAAGCACCCCCCCCCGCTATGATGCCATAGTGTATTATGCTTTCAAATAATGCATGGTATAACATTTTTAAGGTCTCTTACTTTCGATGTTTTGTTTTAATTTATGAATTATAAATTCGAAATATCTGACTTTTTTAATTACTTCTTTTACATGTATATCCCATTTCATTAGGTAATCGATGTTTATTCCTAGATACTTATAACTGTTCACTCTTTTTATTTCTTTGTTGTTTATATTTAATATTAATTTATCTGGGATATTACGTTTATTACCACAGAAAGTTATATATACTGTTTTATCAACGTTCAGAGTTAGTTGATTATTTCTTAGCCATTTACAAATATTAGATAATCTTATATTCATCTTGGTTTTAACATCATCCCAGTTTTTCTCAGTACATAATATAGCAGTGTAGTCCGCATATGAAATGATTGACCCTCTTTCTACATATTTAAATATATCATTAATATACAATACAAAAAATAGTGGAACTAAGATTGTACATTGAGGCACACCTATTTTTAAATATTTATCACTACTTACACTATCTCTATATCTAGTTACTTGAGTTCTTTCACTCAGATAATCTTTTATTAAGTCAAGTGCTATCCCTCTTATACCATGCTTTTCTAATTTATCTAGTAGTATCTTGTGGTTCACTGTGTCGAACGCTTTGGCTAGGTCTAGGAAAGCTATTGCAGTTTTATTATCTTTATTAAAATTTTCATATATGTAGTTAGTAATATAAGAGTGAGCATCTGCTGTACTTTTGTTCTTTAGGAAACCGTATTGCTTATCTGAAAAAATATTGCACTTCTCCATGAAATCGTATATTCTTTTATGCATCAGCTTTTCGAACAGTTTAGCTATATTAGATATCAAAGAGATCGGTCTATAGTTACTTGGATTATCCTTTTTACCTGCTTTGAAAATCGGTACTATCAGCGCTGATTTCAGGGCTTTTGGCCGAATTCCTTTAGAAATACATAGATTAAAAATATATTCGAGAGGCTGGCTAACCCAGTGATCTAAGTTTTTTATTATCTTAGTACTAATATCATCTCTTCCACCCGCTTTGTCTTTCATTTTATTTATAGCTTTTAAGATTTCATTCACAGTTATCGGTTTAATAAAGATAGATTTGCTATTATGTGGAATGCCATTTGACGCATTGTTTATTATATTTTTATCTAACCCTATATTATTAGCTAATTTGATGCCTACTTCACTAAAAAATTCATTCAATGTATTTGCAATATCTTCCGTAGTCGTTACTATTTTATCGTTTACATTTAGACATTCAATTTTAGTCTCAGCTTTTTCATTTCTACCTAACTTTATATTTAAGTATTGCCATACTCTTTTACTATTATGCATATTTGAGCTTATTAAATTTTTTCATATTTTATTTTAGCACATTTAATGACGTTGTTTAGCATTTTACAATATTGATTATTTTCTTTTTTAGTATTTACGTTATTCTTATTTAACTTCCATATATTATATAAAGTTTCTTTTTTATTACAAGATATAATGATTCCCTTCGTTATCCAGTTATTTCTTGGAATATCGTCTTTCTTTTTATTTTTGCCGCTATTTTTTACTATAACTTTATTTGTTAAATTCTTTATTTCATGTATCAATGTTTCCAAGGCTTGATTTGGATCCTGTATTTCTAATATATTTGTCAAATCAGTACTATGACTTAGTGTATTTAGTTTCTTATAATCTATAGTCTTATTGTAATTAGTTTTTCTTTTTTCGCTTTTCCAATCTATTGATATCAAGATTGGATAATGGTCTGTAAAGATATTCGTATATGTATAAGATTTTATATTCATTATTGACGATTTAACAAATATATTGTCTATACAGGAGCCTTCCATGTTTGTAGAACTTGGTCTGGTAATTTCACTAAAGTAAGGAATATAACCTGCTTCTAATAGATTTGTTAAAAATGTAGTAGAATTATTATCAGATTTCAGTATATCAATATTAAAATCTCCAACTATACAGTGGTTTTTTATTTTTTTAGTTCGGACTAAATAATTGTAGAAATCTTTAATAAAATTTTCTATTGTTATATCATGACTTCTGTATAATCCTGAGATTTTAATATATGAATCGTTTACAGTTTTAATAGTAGTTGTTAGTATTTTACAGGATCCTATCTCCTCTGTCTTAGTTTCTTATCTCAGAGACGATTTTACGTAGATAACCACTCCATCGGCTTTGTTGATACTTCCTTTATTATAGTATGTTTTATACGTGCCTATTTTATATAAATGATGGAACTCTAGATTCCATGTTTCAGAGCATACAATTACATCTGGTTTAATATCCATTTTTTAATCAACACTTCAACATTATTATGGTTAGATTTTAAACCTCTGACATTTAGGTGTATTATATGCATATCACTTGGCAACAATATTTTATTCAACTCTTGCACACTATTCACTTGTCTTTCTATATTATTTGCTTCTTTATATTCACTAAATTCTTCCATTTAAATCGCTCAATAAAAATTATTTCCTGATTGCGCTTGAGGATAAAATAAGTACTTGACCCGGTATTTTACCTAGATATTTAGGTTTTTTTGGTAAAGTAGGGTAATCTGTTTCTTTCATGAGTTTTTGAATTTTATGCTTGATATACTCACAGCCTCATGTATCCTTTGGGTGATGATTTGTGCATTTATTTTGCTTATACTTTTTATTATAGAAGTCACAATTTAGACATTTCAGTGTATTTGAATTACAGGCACTTGTTAGGTGGTCACCAGCACATTTTAGACACTTAGGTTCATTTTTGCATTTTTTACTGTTGTGGTTGATCTGTCCACATTTGAAACATAGGCTTAAGTTAACAATGTCATACAACTTACTACATTGAAAACCGACAAATAATTTGTAATTATTTTTGACAATGTTTTCATAAATCCCAG